AAAAAGAGAATTTATTTACTTAAAAAATGTTGAATTAAAAGAGCGTTTTGTATTGGAAAAAATTGTAAAGAAAATAATCGCTATGATATTCCTTCATCTCTCACGATTGCTTTTGTGCAACCTAATACATATAAAGCAACCCTAATGTAAAATTCAAATATATATATTTAAAATACATTTAAATATTCGCTAAAAATTTATAAAATAGTCTTGGTATCTAATATTTATTCGATTTCTGTTCTGTTTGATTTTTATTTTTCTTTATTATTCTTCGCTGTCTAAAGTAACAAGTATCACGGATATTGTGATCAGGTTTTGAATCACTGTACTACTTTGATGTTTTTGTTGCTCCGCAAATAAAACAAATTCGATCATTTGTTATTCGCTAAAAATTTAAAAATAGCGACATATTGTATTATATCAAGTATCGCTTCCACACTCAAGAGGCAAGTATAATGGTCTTTTGATTCAGTAAAATATAGAAATCCTAAAAAACCGATCCCTAATAATGACTTATATGCACGGGGTCGAGTGTAGGAGTTTTACTAAAAAATAAAAATTGAAATAAAAAATTAATCATTTCAGAATTTACAAGTGAAAAATGTGCCGAAAAGACGTAAAATCAGTACAATTGTACGTAAAATTCTCTATTAATTCACTATATATTTTGGAAGTCCAGAATGCAGATTTTTGAGAATTCGCTTTATATTTAAAAAAAAATTTATAATTTTAAAATCAAAATCAGCACGCTTAAATTTTCAACTTTGAAATGAAAACTTACTGAGAAGTTTTATTTCCACATTGGGATTTGAACCCAAACTATACAAAAGCTTAATAATGAATCCCACCAACACAGCATTAGTCTATTCTAGACGATAAAATTATTATATAATTCATAATACTAAAACAATGGATAATTATTATGAAAAATGTACTATAAACTATCCAAAAGCTTAATATTTAGTAAATTTGTTATAGTATTATAGTACTGATGTAATTTTGAGCAATTGAAAAATATTTAAAAAAATGACTTTTAATGTTTTAAACCACATTTCTTCAGATCTAAACTTTGCATATCTTCGTTTGTAGTTGCAGCATACGTGGCACAAATAATGTTTTTTTAAATAGTTATCCCATTGACTGACTTTTTTAACGCGCAATCGAAACAATATCGTTTATTTCGTTCAATATTTTCACCTATAATAATAAAGAATATACTAGGATGTCCAAGTTGAATAGGTTTTACTTATTTTATTGCCAAGATAAATAATTCTGCTTTCTAATTCTTTCGGATATTCAACTTTTTGTTTATTTAACAATTCAATTTTATATCCAATTAAATTAATTTCCGTCCAATAACTTGTTAAAAGTTTGTTTTTGTAATTTTTAATATTTGCTTTTAATAAATGATTATTTTCTTTATTTGAACTCAACTCATTATTTTCTAAATTTTCGTCTAATATCAAGTTTCATAGTAATTATCCTTTTCAGTAAAATTAGTATAGCGAAGTGCCTTAAATTATTTTTTCATTCAGTAATTTTTTGTAAATTAAAAATTCATTTCGTTCCGTATTTAAATAAATACCTGTTTTGTCTGGATCAGAAAATATTCGTTTCAATTTTCGGTTGAAAAATATTATTTTTGTGTCGGTTCATGTTTCGTTAATAAAGATTACGCGTTTGTTTATGATTCGTAGCGACTTAGAGATATTAGGCTGTTTGGGATTTACTGATTCAAAATTTTATTTTTTCGTTAGTGAAAATCAAGAGGTTTCATTTTCTTTTGTTTCGTAAAATGAAATATTTTTTGTTTAGTTGTTGTTTCGTTAAGGGCGAAATTTAATTTTCTACTAGTTAAGGTCTCGATATTTTAACACGTAAAAATAACCCGTTTTTCAAATCCTTGAAGAATTTTTCTAATAATTCTATTGTTGTCAATTTCAATCACAATTTTTCTTTTTAATAAAAATTTTGGGTCATTTGCTTGTCCATCATTTAATTCAATATTATTAAAAATATTTGTAGCAAGATCCATGTCAACGAAACTTATAAATCCCTAAATATTGTAAGTAGGACCGAAATATCTATTGTTCTGTTTTGCGATTGTTTTCACAACAAAACGTTCCTTCGGTTCAACATTTTTTAAATAAATAAGTTCTCTTTTTTCTTCCCAGTTATCTTTAATTTTTAATGAAACACGAATTGGTTTTCCGACGCAATGAATATCAATAAATTAATTAAATATAAGAGAATGATCAAATTAAATTTACTCATCTGAAATTACTATTTCATTTTATGGTCGGTTAAAATGAGAAGTATTTGTGAAGTAATGATGAGAAGTAAAAATGAGAAGTATTTTTCGTTGTTAAAATTTAGTGTATTAATATTATATAATTTATATAATTTAAACAGGATATCGCTCAAATAAAACAAAATTTAAACAAATTAAATCTTAAAATCATATGTGTCTGTTTAAAGTAACTCTGAACTATAACACTAAATTTTAAAGGAGAGAAATGAGAGAAATCAAATGAAACTGTTTTTTAAATAGAATTATAATAAAAATGTCAAAAGTTAGTGAATCTTAGAATAATTTGAATAACCTTCTTTGAATATATGAATTTAATTTTGTTGAGACACTATAAATAAATAGTCTCATTTTGACATTTTCATCATATGCTAAGTTAATAAGAGCTGTTCGAAATTTCGATTTTTGACATTGGCAATCAAGATTTCGACCCGAGTATTTCGAACCAAGTCTTAGAGATAAAAGGGGGTTCAAATCTAACCAAACAACAAAATTTTATTTACTTATTATTTTAACTAAAGTGCAAATTTATAAATCAGCCTGTGAGAAAATAAATATAAAATAACATAAATACATTTCATAATTTACCGCTTATTTTTACTTATAATTTATTTAGCCATTAAGGGCATTTTTAAAATTTGCTCTTTTTGTCAATTGCCACGGTTAATATAATAAGTCAATACAATTTTTTGTTTGTTTATTTTTTACCTACCATATGTTTTTCAAGCTGTTTTGAAATATTTGGGTTGAAATCTTAATTGTCCTTGTCCCAATTATAATTTAAAAAAGCTTTGATGCCCCGTATGTAATTTAAATTTAACCTTAAAATTACTTCAAAAATTTTTAGTATTTTTGATAAAAAAACCATGAGATGCAAGAAAAATGTAGCGATATAGATAGACAAATCATTTCCAGCCAAATATTTATGTATAATTAATAGACGGTAATTTTTGAAATTTATTGAAAGTTTATTTTTATATGAATTTTTATTTATTTATTTTTCACTGAGTTGCTTTAAAAATTGCATTTTTTTTGCACTTATAATAATATTTGTCAATTAAATTTTTTAGTTTGTTTACTTTTGTATATTCTATGCCTTGTGTGTGTCTTAACTTCGTTGCTTAAATATAGAAAATCAAAATTTCGAAACAGCTCATTTGCCCTTAATCAGCAGACTAGCGGAGGCAAAAGAGGGTCATAGCGGAATTTAATTTTGGTTAAGTGGGTAAGAGCGCTGACTACAAAATCGTCTTAAAATTGGGTCTCGGGTTCGAACCTTTTCATGGTTAATTAATATTTTCTAATTAAATAAATAAAATAAAACATGAAATAAACATTTTAAATAATATTTTAAAGTTTAGAAATTTTTTAAATGTTTATTTTAAATAAAAAAATTATTTTTAAATCAAAAACTTAAACGTCTTTGCCTAATTTGACTATTTTCTTGTGTATTTTCTTTGGCTCTATCGTGTAAACAATTTAACATCCATTGATGTCTAAACAATTTCTCCGCTGACAAAACCTCATCACCGACATTTTCATAACGAGGTGCCTAAAATTATTTTTAAAGATATTTTCAAAAATGAAAAATCTTACTAATCTATTAAAAACGCCGTGAAGACTCTCTAAACCTTGTTCATTTACCAGAGACCACCATCCATTTCTTCTAGCAAAGTCCACTGCATGAGCAGCCAGCAAGTGAAGTTTCGGAAACATCTAACAATAAATAGAAAATTTTAAACAATTTAATTAAAAATAAACCTGTCCTGCTTTTGCATATTTTTTGAGATTTCTCCAACAAATGACAACCTGAGTAACACGTTCCTTGAAAATATTGATATCATCCACAAATCCAATTCTGCTTTGTTTGTGCATTAGTTGAAGAGCTGAAAAAAATTCATTCATTCTCGTCCTTATTTCCATTTCTGAGATAACGCTGCACAATTCATCAATATTTGCATCTTGCACAAGTTTATGTAGATCACCACCTTTCAATAATTTATTTAGTTATTAAAAATAATTTTAAAAAAACCTCTAAATTGTTTAGTGTGTTTGTCTCGCTTACAATGTAAAAAACGCAAATTTTCTTCAAGTTGTGCTTTGTTTCCAGACTGATCTGCAAAGTGTACAAGGAGTTCAACAGCTCTGGAAGTGATCCCATGTAGGAGATGAAAAGCGGGAGGAATAATTTCTGATGGTTCAATAGGCAAAAGCGGTTTACGTGTGTATGATTTCTCATTTGGAAGGATTCTATCCAAAGTTCTTTTCGGCCCCATCTCTTCGCATAATTCAGTTTTCGTTGATTCACAGATCGGGCATGGATATCTGGCAGCAGATCCCTGATGCCCCATGAAAGACCCAATAAACTTGACATCGCCAGTTAACATCCTAATTTAAAAATAAGCTAAATAAATAAAAATGCAAAACCATTGAAGTTCCGATGTTGTTTCTTTACCATTCAGCATGTACGTGATTTGTTTTATTTCCTTTATTTGATCCAAAACTTGCCCCAATGTGCTTTCCAGCTCAACTCTGTTGTCATCACCTCTATAAAGGGCCAAGATAGTGAAATTGCTTGGGTGGCTTGGATTTGGTGTGTTTCCTATCAAAAAGCCAAATTTTGTACCATGACCTCCACCCTTATCACCAGCAATCGCCAACACAATTTTTCCAGAAAATTCTTCTCTTGTAACTAGCAACCCTTAATAAAAAATTTTAATGAAATTTTTTGAACATAGAATTTACCATTTTTAAGCAATGATTGGATTCTTATTTTTATTAATTCCTCAACATTTAAACATAATAGTGATGGTGAAGTCCATTCTCTATATATTTTAACCTTCAGTTGTTTTGCCATTTCGTGTTTGATCTCCATCAATTTGGAAGTAGGCGCAAAACAATCAATTCCTCTCTGAATAAATTCCTTCTTCAATATTTTTCTTTGATTAAAGGAAATGCCACAATGAAGCGTGACAAAAAGGTCGTCTTCAACATTAAATTTATTTTCCTTTAGCGGTGATTCTCCTACAATCTTTTTACTCAAGGTTCTAATCAATTGATGACCCGAATCACGCTCAGCACCTAATTATTTATAGAAATTTTTTCATAGAAAAATTAAAAATGAAACTAACTTGGACTCCTGTTTTTGATAAATTTTGCAATTTCATCAGCTCTTCTAATTTTTTGCTTATTTGCTAAATCTTCGAGTAATTTTCTTGGCATTGACGCTGCTTCCCTACACTGCTTCTTCTTTTTTGCTTGATTTACTTTTTCTTCTTTTAAATTTTTTAATTGAGATTTCAGAAATAGATTCTCGTATACTAGCTGAATATATCGTTCCATAGGTTCAGTTTGAACACAAGCATCTTTCATTGTCGGATGCTCTGTTTGAAATGATTCATCTTTACATGTAAGTAGGATTGTTTGTTGTTCTGTCTGTGATGCGGCTTCTTTTGTTTTTTGTTCAGAATCATCATCTCTGTCGGCCAATTCTTCAACAAAAGTACAACCTGAAAAAAAGAAAAACAAAATTAAATTACGGAAATATGGAACAACCTGGCATATTGCAAGTCGAAACAGTTTTCGTTTTGGACTGTCTGGCTTCATAAGCCACCTGCCTCATCTTTTCCAACTTTTTTCCTCTTTTCTCATCAATTTTTTTCCGTGATTCACTAGTAAAAGGCATTTTTCTAAACCTGATTTATTCGGCCATTCATAACTTTTTTAAGATATTCAAAAAATCTATAAATATGGTTTTAAAACAAAGATACGACTCTCATTCATTATTTAAAATAAGCAAAATTTAAAAAAAATAAGATTCTCGAAAAATAAAGATTCTCGAAGTTGACATGTTCAAGCAAACAAATTTTATCTCAAATATTTAACGAAATAACACGCGAAAAAAATAGAGCGACAAAGAAAAAGAGATAAATTTAGCTCTTTATTAATTAGTTGGCGTTCTGCCACAATAAATGACATTTGTTTCGCTATGACCCTTGCTAGTCTGCTGTGCCCTTATCATTTAATTACATATTTAAAAATGCAATTCTATTTAAAAATTGTATAGATTCCTAACTTTTGTTTATGAATTTTAGTTTTTAAAATTTGCACTTTTTGTCAAATACCGCGGTTAATATAGTAGTCAATAAAATTTTTTATTTATTTGAATTTGCACTTCGGCTCTGCCTTTAATTTCTGTTTTGAACGGAACAGGACTACTCAGTCCCGCCGATTCAGTCCCGCCGATTCAGTCCTGCCGATTCAGTCCCGTGCCAATTCAGTCCCGGCCGATTCAGTCCCGCCGATTCAGTCCCCCCTATATGGGGACATTTCAGTCCCCAATGATTTTTATTGTTGTACCAATGATTGTTATTGTTTATTTTTTTGTTTTAAACATTTTCTAGGTTCTTTAGGTGGTTTACCACAACAATTAACAATAACCAACAACAATTATTAACGAAAAAAATCATTTTTATGGAAAATTTAGAATTTTTTAATTTTTTAAACTTTTTAAATTTCTTCAATTTTTCTTAATATCTCAAGACGGTGAGAATTCTACAATGAATGGCGAGGTTTCTACTACAGACACATGGTTTATTTTTTAGTTTTTTGGCTTTTTAAATTTTTTTATTTTCCCCATTATGTACAAGGGGGAGATATCAGGGCTGTGCGTCATGGCGTTTGGCGTTTGGCGCGCCACGCGAAAATTTTGGCGCACAGCCCTGGGAGATATAGCCCCAGAATCCCCCTGACCGTTATCCCTACGTATTTTTGCGGGCTTTTTTGCGGAGATTTCTTACTTCCCAATTCCAGTCCCCACTCCATTTTTTTTAAATTTTTAACTTTAAGACAATCCAGTCCTGGACTTGTTTTTGTGTCGAGCAGAGTGCCGCTGGTGCTTTGCATGTCAAGCTTGCCAAGCACATCGGAAGGGACAGTTGTGCGGGATATCGTCAACAACAACCTTAATCCAAACGGCCCCTTTAGGGCCACAAATCTAATGAGTGAAACGAGACTATGACTTTTTAGTTATTTTTTGATAAATTTTTTAAGTCGGTTTTTAAATTTTATTTGTTTCTGCTCGTGGGTGGGTATCGGGGATATCCAAAGATTTAGACGGTTGTTGGAGAATTTTTCAAAAAATTCCATTCTCTTAAGAAAAAAACCGAGTCCAAAACTTCACCCCAAGCCAGAAAAACCCCAAGAAAAGCCTATAATTAAGACTCATCTAGCTTTTAAGATGTTCTTTGCGTGATAAAATGATTATTTTTTATCACTTTTTATTTTTAAAGTTGTTTTATTTATTTTTTTACATGGGGACTGAAACGTACCCATATAGGCGGGGACTGAATCGGCGGGACTGAATCGGCCGGGACTGAATTGGCACGGGACTGAATCGGCGGGGCTGAATCGGCAGGACTGAATCGGCGGGACTGAATCGGCGGGACTGAGTCGTTTCCTACCGGTTTTGAAATATTGTTCCAGTCAAAAAGAGGGAATTGAAAAGCAACAGAATTTATTATCAAATTGGAAGACAAGGAAAAGACAAAATTAAAAGAAAGCTATCTGTAAGATAATTTACAATTTTAATTTTTGTTTAAATTAACAAAAGATTAAATAATTGCGATTGAATAATTAATAGTGTTCGGCACGGTACGGTATACCGCGGTATTTTTCCCGTATACCGATACCGTACCGGTCAAATTTTGAAAAAAAGTATTTTTCGGTATCGGTATTTTTTGGGTATACCGAAACCGTACCGGTCCTCGAAAAAATACCGCGGTATTTTTCGGTATTTGTGAAATTCTTAAAATTTTCGCCTGCGGTGCCGAAAAAGTAAGAAATCTGTCTTCTGGTTTTCCAAAATTCTCAAAATTTCTGCCTGCGGCGCTGAAAAAGGATATATAGGGACATTCTATTAGAGGGGGCATTGTATTTTTCAATCATCCTCCAGGGGACATACTATTAAAGGAGGGTATTCTAATGGAGGGTGCATTGTATTTTTCAATTAGCTAAATGTCGAGCAATTGTTGGACATTTTACCCATTCAAATCTTTCCTATGATCGATTAGAAGAAGCTCAAGTCCTTGAGATTGTTAAGATTTATTGTTAAAATTTTAAAAATAAAATAAAAAAATTTTATAAAATTTTTTAAAAAATACCGAATACCGGCCGGTATACCGAAAATGTTGAGAAGGTATTTTCCGGTATTGGTATTTTTCCGGTAAACCGATACCGATACCGTACTGGTCAATTTTTGTAAAAAACGGTATTTTTCGGTATCGGTATTTTTTCGGTATACCGATACCGAATACCGGAAAAGGTCATTTGCCGAACACTAATAATTAATGATATAAAAAAATAAATAAATTTAAAAATAATAAGCTTTTATAAATAATAAATCAGACTTTTCATTAAATTGATATCTATTTAAACCTTTTTGATTAAATTTTCGGTATACTCTTCTTTGTTTCTTCTTTTCTTTGTTTACAGCCACATGCATTACATAAATAGTTCCCTGTTTCTGAATGACGGCGCCAATATACTGTTTGTGTAACTCCGCAAATAAAACATTTACGATCGTCCTTAAATTAATTAATCAGAAGTTTGTTTTTATTAGAAGGTTTATTCATTGTAAATTCTATTGAATGAATTAATAAAAATTAATTTCCTGGGTACTATGCGTTTATAACCTATATCTTTTTTTTCCTCTCATTGTTTCTCATTTTTCAACAATATAAAAATTGTCTAAGGCAAATAGTGCTAGGATTAATAAGATGGAAATTATCCCCTTCCAATAGAGTCAAAAAGCTTTTCAGCTTTTTGACTTTGAAAAGCTTTAAAAAGCTTTTCAACTTTTTGACTTTGAAAAGCTTTAAAAAGCTTTTCAGCTTTTTTTATACCGAATTGACTAAACTTATAAAATCATTATTAAATATAATATAAATAAATTTAAAACTTTTTAGTTTGATAAAAATTTCGGTACTTTATGGATATGTCACCCCCCTCCTATTTTGAGTCTCAGAGTTTTCCTTAAACGTAGAAAATGGTCAGAGATTATTTCTTCTCCATGTCAATCATTTTTCTTTCTTCAAGCAAAATAAGTGAAATGTGGTAAATGTAGAAACGAAATGAGTGAAATTTAAGTACAAAATATGTGAAAAGGCAAAATAAACCAGCAAAATACTTGAAGATGAAAAAATGATTGACATGGAGAAGAAAATAATCTCTGACCATTTTCTTCGTTTAAGGAAAACTCTGAGACTCAAAATAGGAGGGGGGTGACATATCCATAAAGTACCAAAATTTCGTTCAGGTCTCATTTTGCCATTATATTTTTTATAATAATGACAAGGACTGCACAAATAATGTTCTTTTAGGTATCTATAACAAATTTTGGTAGTCGTAATTTTACAATTGAAACATTTTCGTTTATTTCCTTCAATTATTCCTCCTATAATAATGAAGAATAATACGTAAATTATTTAGGCAAATAAACAAATAAAAAATTAAAAAGAATAATTACTTATTTTGTTGCCAATATAAATAGCTCTGCTTTTTAATTCTTTCGGATATTCAGCCTTTTGTTTTTCTAACAATTCAATTTTATATCCAATTAAATTAATTTCCGGCCAATAACTTGATAAATGTTTGTTTTGATAGGATTCTATATTTTCTTTCACTAATTCTTTTTTATTTACTTTTATATTCTCTACACTTTCTTCTAATATCGAAGTTTCAAAATGATTATTATTCAACGTAAAATTATTATTTAGTCGACTCTTAATATTAAATTTGTGTATATTGAAGGCTTAAATTATGAATAATCAAATATAAAACACCTGTTTTCCCAAGTTTTTCAAAAGTTTCTTAACAGTTTCATTATTGGCAATTTCAATCAAAATTCTCATTTTTAATTGAGAGCTAAATTTAGACGTCATATTTAGTTTGACAACGAAAACTTTGTTAACAGGATTTACTTCAAGCTTACAAAACGATCCATTATTCTTATAAAGATAATCGCCTATTCTATTATTTCGTTTTACATTCATTATCAATACAAAACGTTCTTTTATTTGAATATTTTTTAAATAAATAAATTCTCTTTTTTCTTCCCAATCTTCTTCTATTTTTAATCCAACCTCAACCATTCTACCTTTTATTTCGATATTCAACAGAACAACAAAATATGAGAGAAGAATTATAATAAATTTTTTCATATTAAATTTTAATATTAAAAATATTTTCTAAAATACAAATAAAAGTTTACAATATTTAACATAACTGATATAAATATTTTGTTATAACTGGAGTCCGATAAACTTAAATACTGATAAACTTCAAAATTTTATCGGTCGGTGAAATATTCATAGATATCGTACAATATGGCCGTAGTAGGTACGGTCCCGGACTTGTTAAATAGAAACAAAAAATAGAGGTAAAAACAAGAATAATAGAGGATATAAATAGAGGAAAATAGAGGTTAAGGAATAGATGTATTATAAATAGATATTTTAAATATAAAATTTTTTGCCTCCTTAAAATAGAGGCAAAAAATTGAAT